TAAAACACGGCATCAGCTGGGATTAAACCAGCAACTTTGTGGTTAACAGCCACACGCTCTAACCAACTGAGCTACGAAGCCTACATTATTTATTGAGAGTTATTTTTGAAATGACATTCAAGTCTGTTTTGACGAATGTAGGCTGGATTTTCATTTTGTTGTAATTTTCATGACTTTTCGAGTTATAAAACACGGCATCAGCTGGGATTAAACCAGCAACTTTGTGGTTAACAGCACACACTCTAACCAACTGAGCTACGAAGCCTACATTATTTATTTAGAGTTATTTTTGAAATGACATTCAAGTCTGTTTGACGAAATGTGGGCTGGATTTTCATTTTGTTGTAATTTTTCATGACTTTTCGAGTTATAAAACACGGCATCGGCTGGGATTGAACCAGCGACTTTGTGGTTAACAGCCACACACTCTAACCAACTGAGCTACGAAGCCTACATTATTCATTTAGAGTTATTTTTGAAATGACATTCAAGTCTGTTTGACGAATGTAGGCTGGATTTTATTTTCATGACTTTTCGAGTTATAAAACACGGCATCAGCTGGGATTAACAGCCACACGCTCTAACCAACTGAGCTACGAAGCCTACATTATTTATTTAGAGTTATTTTGAAATGACATTCAAGTCTGTTTGACGAATGTAGGCTGGATTTTCATTTTGTTGTAATTTTCATGACTTTTCGAGTTATAAAACACGGCATCAGCTGGGATTAAACCAGCAACTTTGTGGTTAACAGCCACACGCTCTAACCAACTGAGCTACGAAGCCTACATTATTTATTGAGAGTTATTTTTGAAATGACATTCAAGTCTGTTTGACGAATGTAGGCTGGATTTTCATTTTGTTGTAAACCAGCAACTTTGTGGTTAACAGCCCACACTCTAACCAACTGAGCTACGAAGCCTACATTATTTATTTAGAGTTATTTTTGAAATGACATTCAAGTCTGTTTGACGAATGTAGGCTGGATTTTCATTTTGTTGTAATTTTCATGACTTTTCGAGTTATAAAACACGGCATCGGCTGGGATTGAACCAGCGACTTTGTGGTTAACAGGCCACACGCTCTAACCAACTGAGCTACGAAGCCTACATTATTCATTTAGAGTTATTTTTGAAATCACATTCAAGTCTGTTTGAGAATGTGGGCTGGATTTTCATTTTGTTGTAATTTTCATGACTTTTCGAGTTATAAAACACGGCATCGGCTAGGATTGAACCAGCAACTTTGTGGTTAACAGCCACACGCTCTAACCAACTGAGCTACGAAGCCTACATTATTCATTTAGAGTTATTTTTGAAATCACATTCAAGTCTGTTTGAGAATGTGGGCTGGATTTTCATTTTGTTGTAATTTTCATGACTTTTCGAGTTATAAAACACGGCATCGGCTAGGATTGAACCAGCAACTTTGTGGTTAACAGCCACACGCTCTAACCAACTGAGCTACGAAGCCTACATTATTCATTTAGAGTTATTTTTGAAATGACATTCAAGTCTGTTTGACGAATGTAGGCTGGATTTTTCATTTTGTTGTAATTTTCATGACTTTTCGAGTTATAAAACACGGCATCAGCTGGGATTAAACCAGCAACTTTGTGGTTAACAGCCACACGCTCTAACCAACTGAGCTACGAAGCCTACATTATTTATTGAGAGTTATTTTTGAAATGACATTCAAGTCTGTTTGACGAATGTAGGCTGGATTTTCATTTTGTTGTAATTTTCATGACTTTTCGAGTTATAAAACACGGCATCAGCTGGGATTAAACCAGCAACTTTGTGGGTTAACAGCCACACACTCTAACCAACTGAGCTACGAAGCCTACATTATTTATTTAGAGTTATTTTTGAAATGACATTCAAGTCTGTTTGACGAATGTGGGCTGGATTTTCATTTTGTTGTAATTTTCATGACTTTTTCGAGTTATAAAACACGGCATCGGCTGGGATTGAACCAGCGACTTTGTGGTTAACAGCCACACACTCTAACCAACTGAGCTACGAAGCCTACATTATTCATTTAGAGTTATTTTTGAAATGACATTCAAGTCTGTTGACGAAATGTAGGCTGGATTTTATTTTCATGACTTTTCGAGTTATAAAACACGGCATCAGCTGGGATTAAACCAGCAACTTTGTGGTTAACAGCCACACGCTCTAACCAACTGAGCTACGAAGCCTACATTATTTATTGAGAGTTATTTTTGAAATGACATTCAAGTCTGTTTGACGAATGTAGGCTGGATTTTCATTTTGTTGTAAACCAGCAACTTTGTGGTTAACAGCACACACTCTAACCAACTGAGCTACGAAGCCTACATTATTTATTTAGAGTTATTTTTGAAATGACATTCAAGTCTGTTTGACGAAATGTGGGCTGGATTTTCATTTTGTTGTAATTTTCATGACTTTTCGAGTTATAAAACACGGCATCGGCTGGGATTGAACCAGCGGATTTGTGGTTAACAGCCACACGCTCTAACCAACTGAGCTACGAAGCCTACATTATTTATTTAGAGTTATTTTTTGAAATGACATTCAAGTCTGTTTGACGAATGTAGGCTGGATTTTCATTTTGTTGTAATTTTCATGACTTTTCGAGTTATAAAACACGGCATCGGCTGGGATTGAACCAGCGACTTTGTGGTTAACAGCCACACGCTCTAACCAACTGAGCTACGAAGCCTACATTATTCATTTAGAGTTATTTTTGAAATCACATTCAAGTCTGTTTGAGAATGTGGGCTGGATTTTCATTTTGTTGTAATTTCATGACTTTTCGAGTTATAAAACACGGCATCGGCTAGGGATTGAACCAGCAACTTTGTGGTTAACAGCCACACGCTCTAACCAACTGAGGCTACGAAGCCTACATTATTCATTTAGAGTTATTTTTGAAATCACATTCAAGTCTGTTTGAGAATGTGGGCTGGATTTTCATTTTGTTTGTAATTTTCATGACTTTTCGAGTTATAAAACACGGCATCGGCTAGGATTTGAACCAGCAACTTTGTGGTTAACAGCCACACGCTCTAACCAACTGAGCTACGAAGCCTACATTATTCATTTAGAGTTATTTTTGAAATGACATTCAAGTCTGTTTGACGAATGTAGGCTGGATTTTCATTTTGTTGTAATTTTCATGACTTTTCGAGTTATAAAACACCGTTGAGTAAACCCTCAACAGAACTAGGCGGGGTTTTTTGCCCCCTGCTGGGCATTGGGTTGACAAAGATGATGAAAATGATGTATGGTTTGAAAAATAGATGAATATGATATTAATGATGATAGATGATGATAGAATGCAAGTGAATAGGGTTGAAGTATGGAGAGTAAAGATGGAGGTTAGAGTGGATGATAAAGGGAAGAAGGCAGTGAAAGAAGGAAGAGAAATGAGGGAAAGTGAAGGGTGGAAAATTCCAGTAAATCCAAATGAAGATACCAGTCAATCCAGAGAGATTTAGAAGAAGGGTGGCAAATGGATATAGATATAACTTGATGAATAGCATGATGGAAGAGCGAAGGAGTGGAAATGCAATGATAATGAATAGAAGAAGGATGAGATAGTTGGATAAAATGGAGAGTTGGGTGATGATGGATGAATATATGGGTGGAAATGTGTATGGTAGGGCTTGTGGTTGAACGAAGTCCATGGGTTCCCTTTGGAGATCACTGGCAAGGATACCAGGAAGAGCAAGAAAGTGCAGATCCGGAGGGGGGTTCATGCTTGAAATGGTTGGTTGTGGGGGAAAGTGGAACAAAATTTAAAGAAGAAGACAAAAAGCTTCTAAAAACAGAAGAATGGGGAGGGAATGGATCTAAACTGACTAGGGGGAAGTGGAAAAGCGAAAACGTGCATTTTGGGGAGTATTTCATGCTCATGTGATCTTTTCTGGTAAATTGTGCGTGGAATGGAGTGAATGTGGAAAATTGCAGACTTCGTCACTTTTGCGGGCCCGGCCTCCGAAAGATTTGAAAGAAAAGAGTTGTTGGTACAGTTGGTATGGCGCTGTCTTTAGGACCGTAAGGTCTGCGGATCAGAACCCTCTGCTGGCACTTCTTCTGACTTAGCCAAAATTCATCAAAGAATACTTGACATGCGGGCATTCCAACAATCGATGGCGGGTGGGGGTAGCCTTCTATCCAGGCATTAAACGAAACATAAAGAATTAGTGACGAGGTATAGGACGACCTATACAAGTGTCGAATGCCAGTATCCCACAATTGAGTCCAGCAAGTCTAATAACTCTCCAAATGGAAAGGGGTCGCCTAGATAGAGTCGAATGTGTCCGCAGGTCCCTTGTAATCACAACTGAATCAGACACCCCTACACAAGGTGCGCAGTAGTGACCGCCAGGGCACATGAGAACTAAAGTGAAATTCACGGGCTAGAGTGACCTGACAGATGCGGGAGTCAAGGGGAGAGCGAGTTGATGATAGAAAGCGACTGGTGGCTGACAAAAAGCGCGAAAGATGGTGGTGTTGTGGCTGGTCCTTGTAATCACAACTGAATCAGACACCCCTACACAAGGTGCGCAGTAGTGACCGCCAGGGGCACATGAGAACTAAAGTGAAATTCACGGGCTAGAGTGACCCTGACAGATGCGGGGAGTCAAGGGAGAGCGAGTTGATGATAGAAAGCGACTGGTGGCTGACAAAAAGCGCGAAAGATGGTGGTGTTGTGGGCTAAAAATCCATGTGGGGATTTTTAGTATCTCTTTCATTTTTTTTGTTGCAATTAGTGCTGCAGAATCCAAGGAGGTTGGACATAGTTAATACCATCGAACACCGCATCAGCTGGGATTAAACCAGCAACTTTGTGGTTAGCCCTACATTATTTATTTAGAGTTATTTTTGAAATGACATTCAAGTCTGTTTGAGGAATGTGGGCTGGATTTTTCATTTTGTGTTGTAATTTTCATGACTTTTCCAGTTATAAAACACGGGGGTAATTTTCATGACTTTTCCAGTTATAAAACACGGCATCGGCTGGGATTGAACCAGCGACTTTGTGGTTAACAGCCACACGCTCTAACCAAACTGAGCTACGAAAGCCTACATTATTCATTTAGAGTTATTTTTGAAATGACATTCAAGTCTGTTTGACGAATGTAGGCTGGATTTTCATTTTGTTGTAATTTTCATGACTTTTCGAGTTATAAAACACGGCATCAGCTGGGATTAAAACCAGCAACTTTGTGGTTAACAGCCACACGCTCTAACCAACTGAGCTACGAAGCCTACATTATTTATTTAGAGTTATTTTTGAAATGACATTCAAGTCTGTTTGACGAATGTAGGCTGGATTTTCATTTTGTTGTAATTTTCATGACTTTTCGAGTTATAAAACACGGCATCAGCTGGGATTAAACCAGCAACTTTGTGGTTAACAGCCCACACTCTAACCAACTGAGCTACGAAGCCTACATTATTTATTTAGAGTTATTTTGAAATGACATTCAAGTCTGTTTGACGAATGTGGGCTGGATTTTTCATTTTGTGTTGTAATTTTCATGACTTTTCGAGTTATAAAACACGGCATCGGCTGGGATTGAACCAGCGACTTTGTGGTTAACAGCCACACGGCTCTAACCAACTGAGCTACGAAGCCTACATTATTCATTTAGAGTTATTTTTGAAATGACATTCAAGTCTGTTTGACGAATGTAGGCTGGATTTTCATTTTGTTGTAATTTTCATGACTTTTCGAGTTATAAAACACGGCATCAGCTGGGATTAAACCAGCAACTTTGTGGTTAACAGCCCACACTCTAACCAACTGAGCTACGAAGCCTACATTATTTATTTAGAGTTATTTTTGAAATGACATTCAAGTCTGTTTGACGAATGTGGGCTGGATTTTCATTTTGTGTTGTAATTTTCATGACTTTTCGAGTTATAAAACACAGCATCGGCTGGATTGAACCAGCGACTTTGTGGTTAACAGCCACACGCTCTAACCAACTGAGCTACGAAGCCTACATTATTCATTTAGAGTTATTTTTGAAATGACATTCAAGTCTGTTTGACGAATGTAGGCTGGATTTTCATTTTGTTGTAATTTTCATGACTTTTCGAGTTATAAAACACGGCATCAGCTGGGATTTAAACCAGCAACTTTGTGGTTAACAGCCACACGCTCTAACCAACTGAGCTACGAAGCCTACATTATTTATTAGAGTTATTTTTGAAATGACATTCAAGTCTGTTTGACGAATGTAGGCTGGATTTTCATTTTGTTGTAATTTTCATGACTTTTCGAGTTATAAAACACGGCATCAGCTGGGATTAAACCAGCAACTTTGTGGTTAACAGCCCACACTCTAACCAACTGAGCTACGAAGCCTACATTATTTATTTAGAGTTATTTTTGAAATGACATTCAAGTCTGTTTGACGAATGTGGGCTGGATTTTCATTTTGTTGTAATTTTCATGACTTTTCGAGTTATAAAAACAACGGCATCGGCTGGAATTAAACCAGCGACTTTGTGGTTAACAGCCACACGCTCTAACCAACTGAGCTACGAAGCCTACATTATTTATTTAGAGTTATTTTTGAAATGACATTCAAGTCTGTTTGATGTGGGCTGGATTTTCATTTTGTTGTAATTTTCATGACTTTTCGAGTTATAAAACACGGCATCAGCTGGGATTAAACCAGCAACTTTATGGTTAACAGCCACACGCTCTAACCAACTGAGCTACGAAGCCTACATTATTTATTTAGTTATTTTTGAAATGACATTCAAGTCTGTTTGACGAATGTAGGCTGGATTTTCATTTTGTTGTAATTTTCATGACTTTTCGAGTTATAAAACACGGCATCGGCTGGGATTGAACCACCGACTTAGTGGTTTAAGAGCCACACGCTCT